GAAATTCAGCCAGAAAATCGCAAACACATTGGATATGCGTATCTGCTTTATTCTTTTGCAGATGAATTATCAGGATCAAATGCAGACTGGAAGTTTCCGGTGAGCGAGAAAGCAAGTGGCAGTTGCTTCACCTCCAACAACACTTTGGACCCCGATTGCGTACGAATGGCTCTGCAGGAGTTCGTGCAACGTTACACTAATGTGAAGCGCGATCTGGAAGATGCCAAAGCCGAAGTGACTTCGCTTCAATCCAGACTTAAGGAACAAACTGAACAAACAGAGCTGTGGTCAAAACGCCTTCATCAGGTTCAACAGGCCCTTTGTGACGCGGAAGCAGGTGGGTCGGTTTTCATTATGAAGGATTGCACAAATGAAGTGAAACATTCCCATGTTCCCATTAAGCTCAATGGCATAAAGCATTGCCACAAACTTGAGGCTGTAAACCAAAGCCGCGGGTGCATACTGTAGCCAAGTTGCCTATCAGTTACGGCCTTGTCGAAAAGTAACAAAATCCAAATACACTCCTTTAGAACTGTTCTAACTAGAGGATGTTGCCAAACTGTGTTTTCATTATCACAAATACTAGACACCCTCATGTCATCTGAAAGATATAAGGGCCCATGATTTTCTGAATACTGAATACTGAGAATAGAGAGCTAGAAGATAAAAAAAACTGTGCTGCCCCAGCTTAGGTGGACCGGACACATGGGCGGAAACACGTTGCTGATTCCTGCGCGGCGGCAGTACATTGCAGCTGCACTATATCTTATCCGGGTACGATACGCTCCCTACACCTTTAGTCCGCAAAGTGGGCGTTGAAGAATCTTACATCTTGACATCGATTTCTCCTCGACTAGCGTCTCTGGCAATTTGTTCTAATAGTTCACCACTCGACGCTCGAAGCATAGAGAGTGAGCGTTGTGCTTTAAATTCGGTACCTCTAGTTTGCACCGGTGTCCGCGTGTGTCGCTTGATGCGCGAACGTGCAGCAGCGGCTGCAACATAGGGAAGTGGGTCAGTTGGAGTATCCGGTGCGTCATAATGAGATCAACTAGAAGGCAGCGATGTGACAGGGTATAAAGCCCTAGTCTCCAACCTCGGTCCTCGTACGACATACGCCGTAAACTGGGGATGAGCCGCGTAGCTACGTGCTGGACCCGTTCCAGCCTTCGTACCTCACCTATTGTGATCGGGCAGTATGTTCCATTTGTTGTCGATTTGAAAGGGATCATAAGTTAAAAAAGTCGCATTGTAATATTTGGCGGCCGCCATTAGTTTGGAGCTAAATATTGCAAAATCTCAGGCATTGCATCCAACAAATTCCGCAGCTGGGTGCGGTGCTAAGAACACGCTACTCCTCGCTCAAAGACAGTGTCCTTTCTTTGCGCGTATTCGCTTTTTAAACCTACTTCCCGTGTCTGCCCTCAACTGTGTTTCACTGAAGGTTTACGTAAGCTCAAATACCATTGAGTTTCGAAGTATTGCCCTTCGAAAGATTTAGCACAGAAGGATCTAGCCGGATAACCTCTGAGCAAGCAAAAATCTCACTGAACGGATATCTCAACATTTGGAGTATCGGAAAAAGTACACATAATTTGGATTACTGGGATAGTGCAGGGCGTGGCCCTTTCATTCGGGGAATATATGTTCACATCAACAGTACACGTTCGCAACCGCGTTTAGTCACGATGAACCTCATTCAGGCCATTTTAGTCCCCGCGGAACAGCTATGGCGTGGTGAGAGTGGAATCGGGAGTTCAGTGAAATCTCTTTTTAGAACAATTCATTGATGAGGGGAAGCAACATTTAAGTAGCCGTGAGGACCACTCACATTTGGTTTGTATGATTTGAGATGGCGTTCCTTGAAGAACTCACGCAATGGTAAAGTAGGCTACGACACTGAGGCGCTGGTCCCATGAATTTAACATCATCGGCTTGGTAACGATCACCTTGTTAAATCAAAGGGGAAGCATGTTGTGATATTGTTGACGAAATAGAGGGTTCCTTGTGATCAGCGCTGAACCCATCCGATCTGTGAGCACCTAGGCATCTAAAAACCTAAAATTTTATTGTCATTTGCAGTTGACAGGGTCTGTCATGGAATGGGATGCAGTCCAGAGTGGATGGAGTATCTCACAGCTAGTAAGGATGGACTCTCACTGGAGCATTTAATTATCGTAACCACTGCCAGCATAACTCTTGAGATGACAGATAGCACCACACGTATCATTTAGTGTATTGTCGCGTTCCTCTTGCATACCTGCTATACCTTTCTTAAAACAATCTGCCCAATGCCCTCTTTTTAACCACATCATACACTCACAAACCGCAACAGATAAGAAAGGCGTGGATGGAAGGTTGTCCAGCACGCAAACCGCACTGATGTTGCAAGAAGAGGCGTTGCGGAAGAACGAACGAGATCGAAAGCTACTCACGGAAAAAATCAGCCAGTTGGAAAGACAACTGACATCATCGGAAGCAGAACGACAGGAAGAACAGGTAGGTGACCCAAAGGAAGGAAACAGCTAGAGTTTAACCACCATCCTTGTATTGATGATGGGTGGCTTCAGCAATGGGTTGGGTGCACGAGTACATTGCATATGCTCAGTGCGCTTGGTTAGGCGGATCTATGGCAGCTTTGGGTTTGAGATAAAAAGGCTGAGTGGTGTGTGGTAAGTCGATGAACACTTGCATCGCACATACTCAGGCTGGCAGAGGTGTCATAGTTGCTCCGTGGGTTGTAGTGATGCAAGACTTTTCCGTCATTGTTTGATCCCCATGGCACTTGCTGATGAGAGTAACACTACACTAGAATCATATGCCATTGGAAATCCTCTGCTAAACTGTTTCGACTCATACCTAACCGGTCGAACCCAGATAGTTAGAATAGGTTACCAATACTCTACGACAAAGCGAATAAACAGAGGCGTCTTCCAGGGAAGTGTTCTGGGACCAATACCTTTTCCAATCTACTTAAACAACATATACGATCCGATCAAACACGGAAGCCCATTCCTATTTGCCGATGACGTCACATTGGTCTACTTATTTCATTCAGATCAAGCACAAATGTGTTACTGATGAGTAGTGAGGATGTTGGCATAATTCAGCTAATTCGTCATTACCACTCACAATCAGCAGGCTTAGGGTAGTCTGGAAAAGCACCACACGCCGGCGTTTCGACCTTCTGGGTCTCGTCACTGGTTCGCCTCCCAGCGGACTCCTGTCGTTTTCCGCTGGGAGGCGCACCAGTGACGAGACCCAGTAGGTTGAAACGCCGACGTGTGGTGCTTTTCCAGACTAGCCTAAGCCTACTGATTGAGTGGCAGTGATGAATTAGCTGAATTATACCAACATCCTCACTACTCATCAGTAACACATTTGTGCTTGATCTGAATGAAATAAGTAGACCAATGTGACGTCATCGGCAAATAGGAATGGGCTTCCGTGTTTGATCGGATCGTATATGTTGTTTAAGTAGATTGGAAAAGGTATTGGTCCCAGAACACTTCCCTGGAAGACGCCTCTGTTTATTCGCTTTGTCGTAGAGTATTGGTAACCTATTCTAACTATCTGGGTTCGACCGGTTAGGTATGAGTCGAAACAGTTTAGCAGAGGATTTCCAATGGCATATGATTCTAGTGTAGTGTTACTCTCATCAGCAAGTGCCATGGGGATCAAACAATGACGGAAAAGTCTTGCATCACTACAACTCACGGAGCAACTATGACACATCTGCCAGCCTGAGTATGTGCGATGCAAGTGTTCATCGACTTACCACACACCACTCAGCCTTTTTATCTCAAACCCAAAGCTGCCATAGATCCGCCTAACCAAGCGCACTGAGCATATGCAATGTACTCGTGCACCCAACCCATTGCTGAAGCCACCCATCATCAATACAAGGATGGTGGTTAAACTCTAGCTATTTCCTTCCTTTGGGTCACCTACCTGTTCTTCCTGTCGTTCTGCTTCCGATGATGTCAGTTGTCTTTCCAACTGGCTGATTTTTTCCGTGAGTAGCTTTCGATCTCGTTCGTTCTTCCGTAACGCCTCTTCTTGCAACATCAGTGCGGTTTGCGTGCTGGACAACCTTCCATCCACGCCTTTCTTATCTGTTGCGGTTTGTGAGTGTATGATGTGGTTAAAAAGAGGGCATTGGGCAGATTGTTTTAAGAAACGTATATCAGGTATGCAAGAGGAACGCGACGATACACTAAATGATACGTGTGGTGCTATCTGTCATCTCAAGAGTTATGCTGGCAGTGGTTACGATAATTAAATGCTCCAGTGAGAGTCCATCCTTACTAGCTGTGAGATACTCCATCCACTCTGGACTGCATCCCATTCCATGACAGACCCTGTCAACTGCAAATGACAATAAAATTTTAGGTTTTTAGATGCCTAGGTGCTCACAGATCGGATGGGTTCAGCGCTGATCACAAGGAACCCTCTATTTCGTCAACAATATCACAACATGCTTCCCCTTTGATTTAACAAGATGATCGTTACCAAGCCGATGATGTTAAATTCATGGGACCAGCGCCTCAGTGTCGTAGCCTACTTTACCATTGCATGAGTTCTTCAAGGAACGCCATCTCAAATCATACAAATCAAATGTGAGTGGTCCTCACGGCTACTTAAATGTTGCTTCCCCTCATCAATGAATTGTTCTAAAAAGAGATTTCACTGAACTCCCGATTCCACTCTCACCACGCCATAGCTGTTCCGCGGGGACTAAAATGGCCTGAATGAGGTTCATCGTGACTAAACGCGGTTGCGAACGTGTACTGTTGATGTGAACATATATTCCCCGAATGAAAGGGCCACGCCCTGCACTATCCCAGTAATCCAAATTATGTGTACTTTTTCCGATACTCCAAATGTTGAGATATCCGTTCAGTGAGATTTTTGCTTGCTCAGAGGTTATCCGGCTAGATCCTTCTGTGTTAAATCTTTCGAAGGGCAATACTTCGAAACTCAATGGTATTTGAGCTTACGTAAACCTTCAGTGAAACACAGTTGAGGGCAGACACGGGAAGTAGGTTTAAAAAGCGAATACGCGCAAAGAAAGGACACTGTCTTTGAGCGAGGGGTAGCGTGTTCTTTGCACCGCACCCAGCTGCGGAATTTGTTGGATGCAATGCCTGAGATTTTGCAATATTTAGCTCCAAACTAATGGCGGCCGCCAAATATTACAATGCGACTTTTTTAACTTATGATCCCTTTCAAATCGACAACAAATGGAACATACTGCCCGATCACAATAGGTGAGGTACGAAGGCTGGAACGGGTCCAGCACGTAGCTACGCGGCTCATCCCCAGTTTACGGCGTATGTCGTACGAGGACCGAGGTTGGAGACTAGGGCTTTATACCCTGTCACATCGCTGCCTTCTAGTTGATCTCATTATGACGCACCGGATACTCCAACTGACCCACTTCCCTATGTTGCAGCCGCTGCTGCACGTTCGCGCATCAAGCGGCACACGCGGACACCGGTGCAAACTAGAGGTACCGAATTTAATGCACAACGCTCACTCTCTATGCTTCGAGCGTCGAGTGGTGAACTATTGGAACAAATTGCCAGAGACGCTAGTCGAGGAGAAATCGATGTCAAGATGTAAGATTCTTCAACGCCCACTTTGCGGACTAAAGGTGTAGGGAGCGTATCGTACCCGGATAAGATATAGTGCAGCTGCAATGTGCTGCCGCCGCGCAGGAATCAGCAACGTGTTTCCGCCCATGTGTCCGGTCCACCTAAGCTGGGGCAGCACAGTTTTTTTATCTTCTAGCTCTCTATTCTCAGTATTCAGTATTCAGAAAATCATGGGCCCTTATATCTTTCCGATGACATGAGGGTGTCTAGTATTTGTGATAATGAAAACACAGTTTGGCAACATCCTCTAGTTAGAACAGTTCTAAAGGAGTGTATTTGGATTTTGTTACTTTTCGACAAGGCCGTAACTGATAGGCAACTTGGCTACAGTATGCACCCGCGGCTTTGGTTTACAGCCTCAAGTTTGTGGCAATGCTTTATGCCATTGAGCTTAATGGGAACATGGGAAAGTTTCACTTCATTTGTGCAATCCTTCATAATGAAAACCGACCCACCTGCTTCCGCGTCACAAAGGGCCTGTTGAACCTGATGAAGGCGTTTTGACCACAGCTCTGTTTGTTCAGTTTGTTCCTTAAGTCTGGATTGAAGCGAAGTCACTTCGGCTTTGGCATCTTCCAGATCGCGCTTCACATTAGTGTAACGTTGCACGAACTCCTGCAGAGCCATTCGTACGCAATCGGGGTCCAAAGTGTTGTTGGAGGTGAAGCAACTGCCACTTGCTTTCTCGCTCACCGGAAACTTCCAGTCTGCATTTGATCCTGATAATTCATCTGCAAAAGAATAAAGCAGATACGCATATCCAATGTGTTTGCGATTTTCTGGCTGAATTTCTATGACCAGAATCTTTCTACCATTCAGCATATACAACAATAAGCAAGCACTGAGGTGTTTTGTATTACACCGTCCGTTCTGGTTTGTCTCGCGTGAACAGCGTTGCATTTCTTGTACCCTATGCGGATCGTGGGTACTAGACAAAGCCATGTGCTTATCAAAACACTTCCTGATTCTTGTTGATTATTCAACTAGAGTTTGCCGGGAAAGCCAATAATCCTAGACATTGTTTACAGCTTAATGTTTTTAATAAGACAAATGTCTTCAGCATACTACCCGGTATAATATATCCTTGGTGTCACATAACGTTCGGTAGAACTACTGATTTCCACACAAAGAACATGTCCTCCGTGATCTAATCGGCAGCACGTTTTGTAGTGCTGATCGTGTCTAGGTAGTCTATGAAATTACTTCAAAAGGTATATGAGATCTCCACGTTGCATAACTTAGGGTATTCTGATTTTTACATGAAACTCTGCACAAACTAGCTGGGGAGCGGTAGCGCTTCTTTATTTCATTCTGTTGTCGACCATGCAATCGAAACAATCGAGGGAGATCCTGTGTTTGCTGCTTTCTTGGTACGGGAAGTTCTATCGGATAAACAACTGCTATTCTGCATAGACGAAGAAGATCAAGCACATCTCATTTGTTGGCTTCGCTGAATACTGCTGCTGACCTCCCTGAAGGCACACATGTCGGCTTCCCATCAACAGTATGCGAAATACTGCTACATCAATCAGCAAACGGTATGCCGTTCTTAACCTTATCCAAGTTACCACAGTTAGCCATCTTTCAATTTACACACGAAGATCATTGTGCCAACTCTGGTATTCAAGGTACCGAAGACGCTATCCTTGTGGCCTCCAAATAGTAATATATCAACGTATAGGAGGACAACAATCCACTAGTCAAAGAGGGCAGACACAGGGCTTCGATGCGGCAGGTTCTGCTGTATGTGTTGAATCTAAAACCATTATACGCTGAGCACCCTAAGCAACTGGTCATCTGTGTCTACGAATAGTTAGTTCTTCCCAGTTACAGCATCTAGCTGGTGACGAATATTTCTATCAATTTCCTCCTAACAACAAGACAAGACCACTGTGCTCTGCCCAGGATGCCCCGAAGATATGTAGTTAGATGACACTGATCACGTTCGCAGGAGCCACCTATCCCATTTTAGGCTACTTGCCGGGACTGAGTATGCGTGAAGCAGGCGCTGTGTTGAAACCGTACAAAGTTAGAGTAGGGGAAAAGGAAGCAACCGATTTGACGATTTAAACGCACTTGTGCGTACTGGCCTCCTCTGTGAGGGTAGCTGGCGGCATTCCTCAGGTACATAGACACTTCCTTTGAATACCGGATGCGTCGTTAGATCCTTGTTCATACTTTCATGATATTATGGTTAATTATAAGATTTCAAGGTGTTTAAATTTAATTGCTCTATTAATGACACAAGGCTCACGCATATTGAAGATAGTACGCCACAAAAAGAGTAGGAAATCGTGCCCAATTTGAAATCTTTGGAGGCGACTTCGATATGATAAGAAACGGACTGCTGTGCAGTTTAACAGGAGTTATATTTCCTAGCTTGCTAGAGAGAATAGTGTTTCATTGAGGAAAAGAATAAATTTTATGACGGGGTAGATGTCACTTTCCATGCAATTGTTAGAAACTTGCTAACAAATATTGATTGAATGATTTGTTCGCACGTGTTTGTGACACTAGTGTTTGGAAAACAAAGCAGCTGTCACCAAAAACTCGAAGATTAATGACGCGTCAACACTAGACAGAAAGTCGTGTTATGTGTGTAATGAGGATGTATCTGTTATGGTTGCGTAACGCTTGATAAGCTTGTCACTGGGACGGTTGGAGCACGTCTACGGTAACGGCTTGGAACGCTATCAAATCGAACAGATTTGCGCCGGCCTGATGCCCTTAGCTTAGCCCGGGGTGAGACGGAAATTGTGTGAGCGTGAGAATCATCCTAACCGCACGTATTACGGTAGACGCGCGCTAGTGACTTAGATGCGAACGCTGCCCGCTAACAACGCACACAAAATCACGTGACCGACCGACTCCCAACTAAGGTGAAGAGGAAGCAAGACAGGTGGTCCTCTGAAGGCTCTTCTACGATCAACAAAGGGCGAATCACAGCCAATGCAATGGGTCATTAAGTTAGGGAAATATGCTACCAGGACGGGGTGTTGGTTTGCAAAAGAACATCGTCAACAGGTACGCAGTTGGGCCGCGTCTCGGAGTGGCTGAACACTGCTACGTTATGGGGAGGAATTGGGCCCAGCATTCTACAGCCATTATGCAGGAATTTCTGGCGCGTTTTTGCGGGGATATTTGACGGGCCCGCAACAATATCTACCAGCTTAAAGCCCATACTGTGGTTGGTCAATATCATATTGCCTTGACACATACATTCTGTCCTACGCAAAACACTTAACCATCTATGCACGCCAATAATAGAGCATCTTTGGAGCAAAAACGCATCGTTTTGAAGTTTGGTCCAGCCCACAAGTCAGGAATTAAAGCTGTGGATTCTATCTAATTCCTTGGTTTTTTTAATTTTCAACTATCGAGTTACGTGATAAAAACCACTGTTTCGACTAGATCGCAGACGATGAGCCCCTAGGCTTAAAATTGTATTTAACGGGTACCGTTTCCTTTGGGCGGCAGCATTATCAACTCCTCTGTTGAAGGACACCACTGTTCCATAACCCTATTTTCTACGCTTATATCTGCCAAAAATATCACATAATTGCTGGAAACTGCCAAAGCATGGAACTCATGAGCATGTCCAATTAACCATTCAAGTCGGCTTGTGAAACTTCTTAAAAATGCGTTCAGCCACATTTCGTATAAGTATTTTTAGGAGGGGTCTGTCCAGACCGATTTCAATCGATTTGCTTACAATATTTATGTTGACATTGCTTAAACCTGATCTGCGTAAAATATCAAGTAAACGCAACCACTGCGACTAGTCGCAGAACTTACACAACCCTTCAAACCCTTCCAGGAGCCAAAACCATTTTACTACCAATGAAAATATTCACTTAATTTATCTGTGCGCTTGGTGCGCGCGCGTCAGAGACACCAAGCACCCCACACCCCCAGTCCATCCCACTGTGAGTCAGACATGCTAACAAAATCAAAAGTGGGGGATTTCGGTGTGGCTGTCTCTCATCCCTGAACTCCACGACCGATGGTTTCGTCTTAGTTTAGACTCATAAGGTAAAGGTAGCCGAGCTGGGAGTGGGACTCGGCACACAGTTCTTGTCGGCTCTCACCACAATCACTTGGCCATTGAGCTCCGCGAGCAGTACTTGACACGTCAGTTAGTAGTTGATTTTCAAAACCTGAAAAACAAAATCACCAGTGATCATAGTGCTGTAATGAAGTTCGGGCAATCTATATGTTTTAGAGTTTCAGGAAGGCTCGACCAATATTAGTGTGTCGGTGGATAACCATTCCATAGTACTGCGTGTATCAGGAGTCGCTTTTGCGCCGTTAATATCTTCGGAGTTGAGGTGGTTTTCAGTGAGCAAAGGGAAACAAAGTAACTGGAAACTGGACGGGGCAACTTTGGACAACCTTACCTTCTAGGCTGGACTCCACACGATTCGTCCCACTTTTGGATCGAAATTTTACAGGACACGGCTAACAACCGGCAGTAGTTAGAGGTTCGCTGTCGTCTACCAACCGAGCTGCGTTAGAAGTGTGTCCGACGCTCGTTTAGTTGTTTAGACTGACTGAATACGGAGTTGGGCATTGGAATCCGCAAAGGAGCTGTTTCACTGTAACTACCTTACCTCCGCATGATGGCAAGCTGTTTGTGGCCGTGTGTTATTGACAAGACGTAGGCGCCTTGACTTTGAATATTTGTATACGATATTTCAGAGGTAGACTAGGTTCTCTTCTCCATTCTCTATTTTCTTGCATTTATTGGGAAATTTTGCTTACATTACAGTGAAGCATCATCACAAACTACTGGTATGCCGCTGTCGCTGCTGCTGCCGCCGCCGCTGCTGTTGGTGGTGATGTAAAATGCGTTACATCTTGTGTTAAACGCTCAAAGCTTCCTTCCGGCGTTCCTGACGCTTTTTGACATATTTTGGGAGTTATTTTGCGCAGTTTATGATAATGCTAATATCATTATGTTACCACTTTGGTAGGAGTTAGCAGAAGTTCACCCACCAAACATAGTATCTTCAATGAACGGTGTCACATGATGCCGACGTCGTATTACCCGATTCCAACATTCTATTCTATGCACCGGGATATTGCATTGTCAGCATCCGCTGCCCGTGACTTTGTGAACTTAATTATTTAGCAATGCCCAGTAAACCAGCGTGCTGCAGAACATTTCCCGAGATTGTTTTTAATCACGACTTCTGGGAACCAAGGATTCACAATTTGTACTGCAAGGATTGGATAACGAGTATCCAGAGACTAGCAAACCAAATTTACCTGGCTTTTTACACTGTTGCTGAGTGATAGCGGGATTTTTAGGAGCATAACCAGACTTTTCCGGAGATTGAGCATCCAATCGTCGTTGTCTACTGACGGGATGTTGGTCCTGCCGGTATCCAATCAGCCGACGGAGTGAGGTGTGAATCGCAGCAAGCTTGTGATCCAACTCCTTTCGAGCCTGCTCACTCGCTTGCAATCGGGCTTCTAGACAAGAGATTTTCTCTTCCGCTCCGCACAAAGTGGTGCGCAGTTCAGATGCATTCGCACTGACTTGATCTAGTCCGTTCTGCAGTTGATTACGTGCCTCGATCAAGCGGCGTTGCTCACAGCTTGCATGCTCGATGGCCTGTTTAATCTCCTTTTCCCGGCTTGCTGACGTTTCTTTAAGTTCACTTATACGTCGCTCAGCACTGTGAAGCTCCTTTTGGAGCAGCGATCTGGAAACAAATCAAGGGCCGAAATTTAATTTTTGTGGTTCACATATTCACAATCATAATACCATTGGGGGTTAACTTAGTGACAAGCAACTCAACGATTCGTTCAGGTTTGTATTGTTGTTCGCAGCATCCTGGCTGCATCTGAAGTTAGGAACATTTGTTTGAACAGTTAGATATGCTCAATATGTGTTTGTTTGGCCATTACTTCTGTTCATTGAACCAGAGGCACAGTAACCTAAATCATTCGATTTCCTACGCTTATGTATATGCCACCGAAATACCGATAAATTAGATTCGGCTGAAATTACGTTTTCCCCTTTAGCCCTAGCATTGAACCGAAACTGACATCTTTGCCTGCTGTCCGGCTGTTGAGACCACTTAAACTGGTTCATTAGGGTGACAATGCATTTTTACTCTCTCCCTTCCCGGAACTGAATTCGGGACATTACATTTCCGCTGCCTTTTTGTCTGCTTGTATGAAGTTCGTGCTGCTGGCGATGTGGGCTTCAGCCGGCTATCAGCACGATCTTCTGACTCTGAAGTCAATTAGTTGAGCTACGACTTAACTTACTGATGCAAAGCATGCTTCGTGATTCTGTCATGTGGAAATGCTATCAATCACTCAGCGGAGTAACTGCTTACAGAAACGGGCTTTTCCGAGTCAGCTAAAAATACCACTAGCTAGTTTATACCGCTGATATCCATGATGGGTTACGAAATGTGAACAGGGTTTACAGAATTTGGCGTGTACCTTGGACACAACTTACAGTTCACTTCATTCCAAGTTACCGGAGAAGAATCTTGATGAATTTGCTTCTCAGATTAACCAATGATTCATTGACCAATTGGATCCCACAAAAATCACACACTAACATACTGGTCAATTGGTCTCACACTAATCCCTTCTTAACCCCGCGTCTTGTGTGCTGTTAGCAAATTGACACCTTTAACTTTATGTTTGAGTAACGTGGAAACACCACAGCTAACTGTTAGTTTAGTGCTATTATTGATGCTTGTGAAAATGACTCCTGCGAAGTTCATGTGGTCTGCGGCTGCGAGACTCTCACACCGATAGTAGAGTTGTAAAAATCGTTTTATTGACCGGCTTGGACTCTAGTGAGTTTGGCTTTGTCAAATGCACTCTGCCAATACTTAATCAATGACTCCAGTATACATGATTACCATAAGCAGAAATACCAAAATTGCTTGACTCGGGTGGATCGCGGTATGCGGTCAAATTTCTTTGAGTTGGTAGCGCTTCGGGACGCTATACCTTTATGTTTACAAACGTTCTTTTCACCACTTGCAACCAGAAAGCCATCCGCCTGACATTTATTAACAAATCTGTTTCCTCACCCTTACTACCAGAAATGTGAACGTTAGTAATATCCTTTTCTTACTGGCTATCCAAACGACAGAGTGGATTGCTTTCGGATTCTGAACATTTGTTGAACCAATGATGGATCATAGTCGTTATCCCACTGGCGCTACTTCCCATTGCGAAGGTTTGCAATGTAGCATCCAGTGCCCACCGAAGTGAAACTCTGATCCTAGTATTATAATGGTTTGGCTGCGGAAAACTGTGAAAATGCATTCATCCGCTGTATAACGCCCATTCCATCTTGACTTGATTTGTTTATTTACATTGAATAAAAATGCACTGCGTCAATACAGTGTTGCCTGTCTGCCTGAAGAACCCGTGTATATGCTGATCGTGAAGTCGCAAATGTCCGCATTACATCAGCTCTCCCCAAGGTAAGGCAACCATCCTCAAAGCAGTTCACTTGTCATTTGAGCTCACCACTTTTAGACTGCAAACTAATGATATTAAACCCGACATGCCTGCGTAGTGTAAAATTACCATAGGCGCAAATACTCTGCATCTCATTCTTTTGTTGGGCATGTCTGTGATCAGTATTAACCTTAGTGATGAATTTCCAAGATCGATCATCGGGTGGTCAAATGCTGCCTAAGAGTACGCATGGCCGATTTACGACACCAAGTGCATTGACGTTTGTTCAATTTCGTCAACTGGAACTTGTTCAAGGACCTCTTTCATTTGATGAATTGGGAAACATTCTTTCTCTCTTCATGTCCTCAACAAGAAACGGACGCGTGACGTGCGTGCTCCTGGTTCATTTGAATTATTCCTTTCTATCCTCTCTCTATCTGCTCGCAGCGTTGTCACTGTACGCTCATTCGAACCGGATTTACCAACCATACACAGTGATCCATCACACGTGGAATTATCTTCTACGATTAGAGTCCGTGTCATCACTAAGCGTTTTTACTGTCATCCGTGATTAAGCGCAAGCTGATAACTCAATCACATTGAGCCGATTGCATTTCTGTGTGACACCACTCCATAAAGATTTCATGAGGCAGTCCGAAAAGCCTAAGCTTATTCCAATGCGTCGTTTCTGAACGCAGGGGTGAAAGAATATGTTATCCCTCAACCTGGGTTCAACGATGTGTTCAGATTGAGTTAGCAGGTTCCAGTCACTCGCCTTTCCTTGTGACCTTGTCAGCCAGTGCGTCTGCATAACCCATCACACGGACCGCGCGACCACGTCGACCGCTCGTGTGAGCTTGCAACCACTACGCTCGTCTGACCGATGTGCGCCGCTCTCAAAGATGGAAAAGTACAGAAGGCTAACCAACCCACTGGGTCAGGTAACGACAGCACGTTGAATGACAGAAATGTGAATCCGAAAAGGCTCCAATCAAAAGGCGTTTGCGGATTAGGATGGTGTCATCGATTAGTTGAAGTCGGTTTGGCTTGCTCGCACTCTTTGGAATGGTATCATCCGAAATGTGCAAACAAGTCCCAACAACAGGTACGAGAGCAAACTAGCTCACAAGATTCGCTTTGATTCTGTACTGCTTGCTCGACCATCCCACTCGGTAAGTCATTGATTATCCTAGTTCAGAAGTGCGTCCGGTTAACCGCAGAAACCGAGTAGAGCATAAGCGATAAGATTACTTTAATGGAAGCGAGTATGCGCCAGGGAGGCGTAGCGGCCTCTAATAAACGGAATGATGTACAATCCGCTTTCCCTGAACCGCAATCACTTACGTCCCCATCTCCGTTGTCCTCTCCAACTTTGGTAGAACGCCGAGCGAAAACTAACCATACCTACGCGAGTCGAACAGTACTCCTGGCAACGAAAATCAGGCACCACTAGCAACGTCTGATTAAGCAAATTTCACTAGACCTGACATCTAGCATTAACAAAGATGAAGCGACCGAACACTAACCCTCGGTACCTGTAGCTCAAAAGTCTTCGGTCGAGCCAAAGCACCCGGAAGTTCAGTCACTATACAGAGATAGATGCAAAGGTAAGTCGGGAGGCCACCGTTGCGGCCTCTTCTGCTGTAAACACCGTTGCCGCGAATAGAGACACAAACAACAAACAATCAACACTCGTCAGCAGGTCAGGACAAATGAGTACCATACCTAGTAGATCAACGGAAAAGGGATCCAACAATAGTGCCCCGACTGTTGTATGCTCAAATGTCCCTTAATCTACCGTCATCACATTGGGGAATAAGTTATCGGAACACCAAGACCAATGGAAATTTTGCGTGCTGATGAGTGTCAAAACCAAGCCCATAAACTTATTACGAGTCACTCGTCATCCGAACTCGTCACACTACGGCCAAACCAGACTAATCCGAGTAACATTAGAATCCCCACCGACTTATAAAACGTTTTGCTCTTTGCAAGCGCGTTAACACCCGGATCCGGTGGGATACGGATCTAGCTTGATGTCCCTTGGAGCGCGCAACAATCCAAAAGAAGCACAGAAGGGGGACACAGCAAACAAGACCGCCTAAACACTATCATTATATATGACGTGTCGGCACACCTGTCTAAGGATGTTCAAAAGACCGGAAAACACGATTTAAAACAGCGGCCATTCATACGTGAAACACTTTTTTGGATAATATTGTGACGCTTTCGCTCGCCAGGATACCTCTCTCGTCAAATAATAGAGGATGCGGCCCTCGAATTCTAAAACTTGTGGTTTAGCCAGTGCAACAAGCAACGGATGTTTTGGATCGATGGCGAAGAAATCGGAAAATTCTTCCTTCTGAATTTCGGCCAAAGGTCGCAGAAGCTTTGCAAAGTTCAATTATCAAAGCACCTGAAGCAGAAAACCTACCAACGATGACACAGGAGTTTAACTTGACCGCTGCTTTAGTTGACTCTGATGTAGACCTAAAAGATGATTAAGACGCAAGTTAGCTGAAGTAACTTCTAGACGAGGCATCATTATCCTAGAAAATACGAGTAACTGCCGACCTCACATCGGTCGGCATTCTCCTACATTTGAGCCCTTTAGCCCTCTATGAACTCTTAGAGACCCAGAGACTGGCCTGCCCGTATACGAATGCTAAGGATCCTTTTAATAAACTTGCCGAACTGAAAGATTGCCCAGCTTCCGGGTCATATGATGTCATTGGTATCACCGAGACATGGTTGCACACGGGAATGACGGACGCTGAACTTGCGCTACCGGTCATGTCAGTGATCTGGAGCGATAACCTCACAAAAGGAGGAGGGTTAATCCTGTATTATCAAAGCGACTTACAGTGCGAAGCCCTAGAGGATTCATACTCGCAATTTTCTAACTTTCCTTGGTGCAGGTTGCAGTTGAAATGGAAGGGATGTTTACCTTATTGTCTTCGTTTACCGACCCCTAACTCTACACCCGAAACCGACGCCACCTAGCGGCTGCTTTAAGATGCAGTTTACAGCAAAAGTACACTCACATACTTATCATGGGTGATTTAAACGTACATTGTTTAGAAACTCCTGCCACGATCGGAGAACAATTCAAAGCCGATCTACAGGAGTTGTAACCCCTGTTCCTCTTTACATTTCACTTTGCCCACTAAGGTCAGAAGAGATAACAGGCCATCTGTGCTGGCTCTTGTGCTTAACCAAAGAGGAGCATATGATTGAGGTGTTGGTTCTAGACTGCCCGTTGTGTCGC